GCTTGAAGATGAGCTGGAACTCGACGAGTTGGATGAACAACTCGGCGAGTAGGTTGAAGATAGCCTTAGACTCGGCGAGTTTGTTCCTGGACTCGGCGAGTCTTGTCGAAGAGTCCCAACATTTTTTGGTTGAGTCGAAGAATCGGCGAGTCTTGTCGAAGAGTCCCAACATTTTCTGGTTGAGTCGAAGAATCGGCGAGTCAAGGGATGACTCGGTGAGTTAGGTGCGAGTGGACTCAGAGTTGTTGGACTCGGCGAGTCTCGGGGTGACTCGGTGAGTTAGGTCGCGAATTGAGTGAAGTTTTGAGTTGGGAACTCGGTGAGTCATAGGGTTGACTCGGCGAGTAGGGTCAGTCAGGGGTTGACTTTGACCAAGGGTTGACCAGTGGTTTCCAGGGGTATTTTGGTAATTGTTGATTATGGTTTTGAGTTCAGTGCATTGGTGGTTGTCCAGTGGTGGACATCGTATCAGTGATCGGAGCAGCTTGGGTTATCTGTTCAGTCGGCAGTTTCGAGGTGAGTTATCCTCACTATATCTATCGTGTTTAAGGCACCAAGGTCGACCCTTTTATCGGATGGAAATCCGGGTAATTATCTGTTGAATGATATTGCGGGATATGGGCCGGAAGGCGTTACGTTATGGGCCGGAAGGCATTATATGTTGTGGGCCGGAAGGCATTACATGTTGCGGGCCGGAAGGCAATGCGATGTGGACCGGAAGGTCATGGCCTGGAAAGGCGTATGTGCATAATTATTATGTTGGCTGAGTCGTAGGGTGATGTTATGCTAGTGATCGGCTAGGCTGGTATCTTGGTTAGGGTAATGATATGTTATGTGATCTGTTGATCGATTTGCTAACTGTGAACTGTTATATGATTACATGTTATGTCTATGGTTGTCTGGTCTGGAGTGTAACCCGGTATGCATGGTTTTTCTATGTTCTGTCATGATATATATGCTTTTACGTTGCGGGCCGGAAGGCGATATGTTACGGGCCGGAAGGCAATATGTTATGGGCCGGAAGGCAGTGTGTTATGGGCCGGAAGACATTACGTTATGGGCCGGAAGGCGATATGTTTTGGACCGGAAGGTTGTGGCCTGGAAGGGCGTATATGTGGTTGGTATTTTGGGGGTATCTCACTAAGCTTTCGGGCTTACAGTTGTGGTTTTTATGTTTTCAGGTTCTCAGGAGTCTGTGGCAAGGCAAAGGCGTGATCGTACCATTCCTCGCGTTGGTGTTTTATGAAATGGACCTGGGAAAATACTCTGTTAAATAATGTATTGAAAACCTTTTTGTAACAACGTTATTAAAATGGATTGTTTTGAAAAAGTTTTAATTGTTTCGAAATTTTGGTCGTTACATTGAGGTTGCCCCAAGTCAAATATCAATTGCAAAGTGTAGTGTTCAAATCGAAGATCTAAGGATGGTCACACCCATATTCATTTCCCCACCATTCACCTCCCGACTTGCCCCCTCAAAGAAGAAAGAGGAATGTTAGACGCCCTTCGAAAGGTTGAGGTAAACATTCCGTTGTTGGATGCAATCAAGCAAATCACAAGGTATGCTAAACTTTTGAAAGAAATTTTGACTAACAAAATAAAACTTCAAGGACACGAAAATATTTTAATGAGTGCAAGTGTATCTGCGGTTTTACAAAGTGAACACCAACCTAAATGCAAAGACCCCAAAATGTTTACGTTTCCTTGCAAGATAGGGATGTTACTATTAGTAGTGGCATGCTTGATCTTCATTCTTTTATTAATGTCATGCCATATTCAGTATATGAATCACTAAATATTGTACCATTAAATAAAACAGGTGTTACTAATCGAGTGTTATCCCTAGGTTTGTCTTAGACGATGTTTTGGTATAAGTGAATCAATTGGTCTTCCCGATATATTTCTACGTGATTGATTTAGAGGAACCAGTTTCCTCCAAATCGGCTCTAATATTGCTTAGAATTCCGTTTTTGAAAATGGATAGGACAAAAATTGATGTGCATGTGGGTAATATAACAATGGAATTTGACGGTGAGGTATTTAGATTCAATATTAATGACGCCATGAGATACCCTAGAGATATATCTTCTTTGTAAGTTGTTGATGTTGTTGAGCCTTTAACTCAAAATTTCTTTGAATACAAACCACAAATTGTTAGAGATGAGTTTGAGTAAAGGTCGTAACCATAGAAGTGTAATAAGGGAGATGAAACACCATCCTTCAAAGCTAGAAATTGATGAAGCGGTTGACAAGTTGGACACAAGACAATTAAGTAAGAATGGAAAGTTAAAAATGCAAGAGCTTGATGAGTCAAGAAACGGAGCATATGAAAATGTCAAGATTTATAATAAGGAAGTGAATACTTTTCACAACAAGTGCATCATCCCGAAACATTTCAAGCTGTGGCAAAAAGTTCTTCTTTATTGTTCCCAACTAAAACTTTTCCCAATAAAATGGAGATCTCGATGTCATAGCATTTTAGGTGTACATAAATTATTAGAGTATAGAGTGGTGGAAATCAAAAGTGTCGATACAAGGAAAGTTTTCTAGGTTAATGGACATCGGCTGAAGTTGTTGAATGAAGGTTTTGATGCAAATGTCCAATACATCGTCCGTTTCGACAACCTGAAATTTTGAGGAAGAATTGGTAAGACATCTCGCCAAAGACATTAAAGAAGGGAGTTTTTGGAAAGCATTGTGCTTTCGTTTTCTTTCACATTCCAAATAAAATGTTTTTGTTAAAAGTGTTTTTGCATTTTCAAAAGTTTCCGTTTTTTAAAATCCAAGGTCTCCCTCCTTTTGAAGTTAAATTTTGCTGACTTTTGAAGTCCCGAGGCTCATTTTGTTCAGACAACTAAGTTTTAAATTTTCTCCCAAAAGGCTCTACAAATGGTCTGCGTGTAATTTCTACGTCCGTGTGTGGTAGATCACGTGAAAAATAAGGATTCAACATGTTATCAACATTACTCACGCGGTCCGCATGTACTCCCAGTCATCCACGTGCCCTGCAAACCGGCTACATGTAGAATCCATGTCCAATTGGATTGTTCGTGTGGATTTACACACTGTCTGTGTGGATTCGTTGACCAGATTTGACATCCATTGACTTGTTGACCAAATAACTTAAGTGACATGCAACCCTTCATCTTCATTAGCATGCTGATTGTTTCTCTCTCTCTCGCTCTCTGTCTCTATGCATTCTTTCTCTCTCAAGAACCCATTAACGCAAACCCTCCTCCTATTCATCCTTATCCCTTTCCATGTTACCCTTACCCACCATATCCATATCAATATCCTCCTCCTAACCCTCCGATTTAAGTACAATCGCCCTTTCCCAAGCGTTTAGGACAATGCTTATTTTTAAGCTTGGGGTGGCGTATTCCCTTTTCTTTTTTGCTTTCTCTTGCATTTTATATAGGTTGCATAGCATATTAGCCTTAATTTGCATTCATTTTTTTTATAACATTCCAAAAAGATTTTATTTTCTTCTTTTCAAATTTTTATTTTTGCATAACATTTAGCTTAGGATATCAGCATACATGCATGTTTGTTATCTGTTTATTCTCACCCTCTTAGATGCCATGGAACAGGTTCATAGTTATTGTATCATTATAGATCCAATACCTTGTTGTTATCTCACACATCGAACCGGGACCATTAGGCCGTAGTTTGGGACATCATTCTTGGGATTAACTGTTGGAGCTTAAAGGGTTAAGTGATCATGGTCAGGTAGTTTTCATGAAGAATTATGCATGCAATACTAACAACTGTAGAATATACTATAGCGATGGATGTTTTTACCATGCGGTCCATGCCGCCAAGAGGATCACACTTTATCATGTTTGAATCATTAGAATGAAGCACTGATGCTTATCCCTGAGTAGAATCCATATATTTTTTTTGCATCACCAATAGTTTTTTGAAATCTTTTTAGGTTTCTATAGTCTTTTAGTCTACATTTAAACATTTTTATTATATTTTGAAAATCACAAGTTTGAAAAGAAGCCTATAATTTCATGCTCCACACATTGGTCATTTTAACACTTAGACCACTTGGATTAGTATTTTCCGGTTCCACTTACATACTTTTGGGAACCAAATTTTGAGTTAAAAATTTTATCGATAAAATTTTGGCATGTTACAACATTACATTAAAAAAATCGAAATCAGAAAAGAGAAGCTCATGAAAGCAATTTTAAGCTACGATTATCTTAGATGGGTGACCAGTTCAATTATTAAACAAATTTTATTACATTTTGGTCACCCAAAGATTGTTATTTATTTATTTAGATTGGCATGTTTTATTGTATATAGATCGAGTTGACAAATTGGTAATGTTACGGAGTCTGTCGAGTCAAATATTATGGAAGGTTCAGGCCAACACTAAATGAACTGATTCCAATAACGGTGTCCGAGCGATGAAACCCAATCATATATGAGAGTAGCCGTCAGACGTGAGATCATGCAACTTTCGTGATAAGAGTGTACACTTAAAGAAGAGCTCCACACGAGCCTATCCATCTGCTTTCTCCCTACTATAAAGGTTCTTCATTGTATGAATGTTCCATTGGGGCTACAACTGGCCATCACTCCTTACTCACCTGAGGGATTTGTCATGGGTTGTGGTTTATGGTTCCAATGTCATCGGATGAAAAATTATTAGGATAATATTTCGATCAAGTCTGACCATGTTAACTAATGAAGGTTTGTATCGATCGGATACACTTCAAGTATGGATAACAAACGTAAAACTAATCTAAGCAAAATAATAAACAGAAAGTAAATAACACAGAAGTTCACCAAATTGTTTTCTCCAAGAAAGAGTTTTGTCTTCACTAAGAAGATGAGTTTGTAACAAAGACAATTGACACAAAGCCACAATCATCATTCCGTTGAAATCACATATGATTTTGACTGTCAAGATAAAAGATCCCGCACTTTGGTTTTAGAATAAACATATACTGAATGGGTTTAACACCTGCTGCCAATTTGTTGTTGATTTATCTGGTGCGATAAGGAAGAATAAATGTGGTATTCTTGGACTGATAGGGAGTGACTGTTCTTCCAGGTGAGGCGGATCTAGATGAACTAGCTAATGGACCAACGGATGGAACAATATTCAATTTCTTTACTTTGTTGAGAAGTTGATGGATTTCCAACTTCACCTCCTGATCATGAATACCCTTATATTTGTCGTTGATTTCTAGAATTTTCATCCACTCGATGTAGCGAATTTTGACTAGCTGACGAGCAAATGCAACCTTAGCGTATTCGAAATTCACCTTCTTTCTTACCAAGTAAAGATTTAGTGACTCGTTCTTTGGCTTGGTACATCTTACTTTGATGATGGGATCAAGCTTTGTTCTACGAGTCAAAACATCTCCAAACTTGTTTCTATCGATCCGATTATGTAGGTCTGAAACAATGTGTTGATTTTACATATTGTTATTGAAGAACTTCTTGAACTGATTATCAATGCTTTGAACATCATCACTTTCATCAGTGGAAACAATTTCTTGAAAAAATTTGGCAGATAAACGTCCTTGTTTTGTGGCGTCTTTCTTTTTTTGAACAACAATATCGTATTCCAACATTATCTATCTAACTTCCTCGGTAGGTAAGGTCCATGTTTCTGCTAACTCATTTAGATCAAAGATGAGCTTGCTTTTCTTTTTAGGAGGAGCTGAAGTATCACCAACTTTAGAGGAACTTCCAACATTAGTGTTAAGAGATCCCCCTGAGAAGGAAGCCTTACTCTTTCGAGGATTGAGCTGGACACCATCATCAAAATCAATGTTAGTATTGTCTCCTTGAGGAACCTCCATTTTAGTTTCTTGAGAAGATCCCCTCTTAATGTAAGAATCGATGTAAATGGTTTTTAAGGGAACAACAACCACATCAGCTAGTGGCATAAAGTCAAGATCAAGAAACCCTTCATAGTATTTGGTCTCTAATTGATCACCAGATTCAAGAATGGGTTGATAATCGGTTGTTGCATCAGCATCAACGATTGAAATAATAGCAACAACAATCTGAGTTTAAGAATCAGCTTCAACTTCAAGCCTTCCAGTCATCTCAATTTAAGATGCAATCACCACTTGCATTTGCATTAACTGAGGATGCTCTTGATTATTCTCTCCATTTTACAACATCAGATTAGGGAGGAGATTTAGGAGGAGGAGGAGTGTTCGAAGAACGATAAGATGGTGGAGGAAGATTTGTTGATGGAGGTGGAGGTGGAGGAGGTTGATCACTTGGAGAGCTTGGCGGGGTGTCATCAACAACCATAGCATCATCATCAACACCCAAATCCATATATTGCTTCATTGTGGCCACATCCCTTTCAAATGTTGTTAATCTTCTTTCAACTTTAGTTAGGCTTTTGTCCATTGACCGAGTAATCTCCATAATAAAATAGAGTTGGGAAAGCACAAAATTTTGAAAGTTGGAGTTGGATGCTTCTTGATAACCTTGATGAAGAGCATCAATAGTAATCGGTGTTAACGTAGGGGGAGCTATCTCAGCTTGAGGAACATTATCGACTTGAGAAGAAGGAGACGATTATGGAGAAGGTTCATCTTGGATCATTGGCTCAGTAGTATCTCTAACAAGAGGTGTTGATCCACGATGTATAGTATCATCAACAGAGGAAGAGGATGAAGAAGTAATTCAAAAACGAATGTGCTTGTTCATCCGTAGGGGAAATTCCATTTCCCGAGCAAGACTTTCTCCCTTATTAGTGGTTGATTCTTTATTTTTTTCTTCCTTATTAGTCCCTTTTTTATTACCATCATCATCATTATTAACATTCTCCTCATCATTCTCTTCTTCAGCGTATGAGGATTCAACCATATAAGGTTGTTCAGTGCACTTTTGCATCCTTGCAATAATAGGAAAATCATCCTTAGTAGGAACAGTATTAACGAATTTTGAAAAAAGAGTAGAAAGAGGAATCATGATCCTATGACTTTCAATGTAGCCTTCTTCACGAGACAAAGATCAACCCAGGCCAATGCGGGTAAGGAACATGCACTGGTCTCTTGTTCCCAGAAATACATTCAATCATCTGATCAAGAAAGATTTTAGCAAAATCCACTTTTTGTTGTAAACGATGGAGTATATGGTCCTTGGCTCAAAGAGATTCAGTTGATCCAAACTTCCTGTCTCATGTCCAATACATTTTCCAGTAACAGCTGTTAAATACTTTCATCTAACTCTAAAACAACGATGAATAGTGTTTCTATGTGGATCATGAGTGAGTCCCATAAGTTTGAAATCGTACCCAATTTTTTCACGAACACTCTTGCTGCTTTCTTCAGAAGGAGTTTTAGAGTAACTTTCAAATCAAAGAAGATGAAGAGCAATTCAGAAGGATTCTACATCACTAGTAACTGTATATTGACCATCTCTAATGGTTCCAGTAATAGTTCGAGCATCATTATCAACAAAGCATGAATAGTAGAATTCACATACTTGTTTAGGGTAGAACGGATTGGGAAAGTCACATAATACGTATCGAAGAGGGCAGCTCTTGACATAGTAGACAAAATCTTCGATTCCTGAGTTCGTGAATTGTTTTGGAATTTCATCTGAGAATGCCACATTTGTTGGTTGAATGGTGATGGTAAAGTAAGAGGTGTGAGAACCTTTGATGATGCTAGCGTTGGGGTTAAACTCGTGTAGAAGCTTTAACATGATGAAAGCTTTGAGCAAGATTATGATTGGGAGTCTTTTTGAGAGTGAGTGCCAATTGCTTTTGAATCTCTTGTAAAATTAACCAAGAGCGGTGAATTCCCAATATATACCCAAAACAATTTCTTCTTTTCTACGTAATCATGACTGAAGAGATCTTCACCGTAAAAATATCGTATCCTAAGATAATGATAGACCTTTTAATCATCACTCAAAAATTTACCTTTTGGATAATATAGATACTTTAGACACATCATCAGCATCAATGTAGTCGATCAGTGAGTGGCTTGAGATGGTCACCTAGTACGTTTGTGATGCCTCATGATAGTGTGGGGGTTAAACTACCATTCACTGACATGGTATTGCGTGATCTCATCAGCATGTGGCTTCCTATGCTGAATCATAAATCACTTTTATTAGAAGAAAAATATGCAAGAGTGGTATGATGTGTGTAATATATTCTAGAATAAAATGTACCCAACGACAAAGATTTTTCAAGCCCTCATTAGTGTATGGTACATTACACTGAATCATAAAGTTTTAAATAAGAATATCAGGGTAGGAATGGATTGGTGCGTGTGATAGCCTACTATACATAGACTAATCATCGACACAAACTTTCCAACTTTCATCAGTGTGTGGTATATCTTAGTGAATCGTTAAGTTTTATTAAGAAGATAAAGGAGAGAATGGATTGTTTTGCTCACGTTGAGGTGAAAATGCGCTTGTGAATCATTAACAGTTTAACACATCACCAAGAAGTGGCTTTAAGCTTCCATATCATAGAGTAAGTTGCAATCTAGAATCAAAGATTCACCATTAATTCATAATAGTAGCATGTCATACCTCAAACTAGGAGGTACATGGACATGAACAACCTTTTGTTATTTAAGGACCTGACATGTATCTCTTACGCTGATGACTATGCAATCAGGACAATCCACTAAGTTTTACTCAATGTTTCAGCAGAACATGAGACTTGATGCATACGAAAATCATGCTTCTAAGGACAAGATCAGGTGAGAGATGATTAACCAAGTAAATAAACATCCAATCCTTAAGATACCAGGCAATCTCACATTGAAAATTTAGACAATGCTAGACAGTCAATGTGAGTGGGTGAGTCAATGTTCTCAGTGGATGGTTTCACTAATGAGAAACTTAGATAGATTTAGTCACATACAACAACATGCTTCTAGAGACAATGATGTGTCAAAAGTTACATACTAGGCTTAGCATTGCCTCCGTCGGATTCTTTTTTTAAATGGTACAAAAGAATAAACAATATAAGAATACAAAAAAAAAAGTTAGTCAAAAAAAAAAGTTTAAACAATGAGATACGTGCAACTTTTTTCAAAAAAGTGATAAAGACTCGTTCCATCAAATCCTTGGAATTGAATGGTCATTAATGCACTTCCATTTTCCGATATATCTACCACTTTAAATTTCAGCTATAGAAGAGAACAAACAAGATTAACCATATCACATAAAAACAATACAATTCATAGTAAACAAAGAGAGAGAATGCATTTAATCGTTAAGAATCCGCAGATTGATTCCAAGCTTCATGTTCAGAAAAACAAAAGAAGAATATGAACTTGTCTTTGTAACCAACGAGTTAGAGGGATCCAATATTTGTAACCTTCAGGTTATGAGAGTCACCAAGACAAAACATAAAGATTCCATATATTAAGATTCCTAATGGAAGAGATGGTGGGATCACTATCTTGTTGAAGACGTGCTTGGATCTTTGAGGTGATGGGTTGTAGTGACAACATCTCTGGAAGTTAGGCGTGCCATATCACCTAAATTCATCTCATCTCATTGAAACATAAATAGGACGTTCAAGAAAAAAGATATATGTGTCCAGAAGAACACTTGGTGGCACATTTATGCACCATCTGATCTCATCAACATGAAGCAACATGTCAATCAGCGTGTGCATCAACATCAGTGAGAGGGCTGTTGTTGCGGAAGAAAAGATGTAGAATCAACGTTAACTAGCTCTTACAAGGAGGGTGATGCATTCAAGAAGTGACACATTGATCTTAACCGGTTAAGAACAATGTTGTAAGGAAAATGGAAGGTCCTGTCACATACAGAGGAAAGAGAAGAACGAAGATTGTCAATGTTAGTAACAAAATGTGTATGTATAATGTGTACTTCTTTGGTAAAGAATAAAAGAAAATTTTAATGCAAACAAACCAAAAATAAATTAAAAGTTTAGCAAATTATGTTAAAAAATTTAAGAGTAGCAAAGCAAGAAGCAAAAATAAAGTATTAATGTCTAAACCAATAATCATCAAACCATATAAATGTCGTTGTCCTTTTGTGTAGTATGTACAAATTTGTTTCCAGAATCAAACACTTTTCCCTTATGATTGTTGAAAATAACTTTGTAACCATCATCACAAAGTTGACAGATGGAGATGAAGTTGCCTTTCAGACCCTCTACATAAAACACCTCCTTTAGCTTCATCATTCTGCATTCAAAAGTTCCAACACCTGTTACATCTCTTCCACTATTGTCACCAAAGGTTACCATTGGACCATCCTTCTCTGCAAAATTTGTTAAGAGGGACTTGCAACCGGTTAAGTGTCGAGAGCTTCCACTGTCCTAGATTTGCACTTGATTTGGTGTCAACGTGAAAACTATCAGCATCACATATGCCATCAGGGGAATCATTTATAACAACCATAAGACCCTTGACATTCAACCCATCATCCTCAAAAGTCTCCATTTCTTCTGCCCATTCTTCAAGATCCTCTTGTTTTGCAATGAAGGCTTCAGGCAGAGTGATGTTTCCTTCTTCATGTGAGCTACCAACTTTTTGCACAAGACTTTATAGTTCTTAGGGCTCTCAGCTTCTTTCTTCTCCTTGCAATCCCTGGAAAATGGTCAATGATACCATAATTAAAGCAATTACCTGATTTTCTCTTCTTGGAAGTGGATCTCTTTGTTGAATTGCTTCCCTTCAAATGGGCTCTTCTAACCCCATTTCCTCTGGTTTCTACGTAGCGCTTGACGATAAGGGCAACATTGGCAACATGCTCATCGGTGAGATCTTCATCACTCTCTTCACCCTGATCTGAGTTATGCGAGTCATTAATGTGATTTATTGCTTCCATTAGAGGTACAAGGGCAACAAACTTCTCATTGCTTGAGTCTTTTATGATTTTTATTGAAGAGCTTTGGTATTTTAGTAGTTTCATAAGTTCCCAACAAGGAATTTAGATCCATGTCATTGATATTTTCACCATGCTTCAGGACATCAATGTGTTTCCCAACCTGCATATATCATTAACCAAACAAGGAACTTTAAAACCAATTGAGGGGAATGCTTGATGATTACCACCCTACACATATCATTAACCAAACAATTAAACCTATTAAAGGTTTGGATTAAAGACTCGCCTTGTTGAGCAAAGAAGTGCTCATATCTTCGACTCAGATTATTAATGGTTGTGGCCTAAACTTCCACAGTACCTTCGTAGGCCACAATCAGTGTTTCCCCTCATATGTTGGACCAATTCATAATTTTGCACAAGATCGTACATGTGATAGGGAAGAGAGTTACATATCACAGTCATGGATTTAACATTTAGATTTATCATCCTCTTGTCATCTTCGTCATAGTTGGTCTCTGATTTTTGCTTCAAGGGACCAAGTGGAGCATTGTTAGCCATAGGTTTATACATGGGAACATGATGACCTTTTCAACGATTTTACGTATCTCATAGTTCATGGTTTCAAGAACCACATGGCCTTGGTTTTCCACATGGTGAAATTGTGTTCATCAAAGGGAGGAATTTTATTGAGACCAATGGATTTGGAAGTGGTTGAAGATGACATGATTAATTGAGTGTATCAAAAACCCACTTTGATACCAATTGAAGGTTTGTGTCGATCGAATACACTTCAAGTATGAGTAACAAACATAAAACTAATCTAAGTAAAATAATAAACAGAAAGTAAATAACACAGAATTTCTCCTGATCGTTCTTGCACCAAGAATGAGTTTTGTCTTCACCAAGAAGACGGATTTTTCAGAAAAATAATTGACACAAATCCTTGATCACAACATTAGGGTATTCCCTAATGTTGTATATATATGAATATACATGTGTGTATCCCTTTATTAAAGGTATTACATCTACTTTTTGAAACCTAAAAGCGACCCTCTTTAACTTGTCAATCCGAATTTATCTCAACAACCGCAATGATCTTCCTAACCGCAATGATCTTCCTAACCGCAATCAGTCTTGGTCATCCGCAGTGTCATCAACAACAAAGACTTACCTTTTTCTATTTAACTTATTTGTTTACATTGTATTGTCCAGTGTGCCTTGCGTGGACACTTTTATCAGAAATTTAGTCTTTGTTTATTCCTCGTGTAATTTCTCGAGACTTTATAAATAGAGTTCTCAGCTTCTGAATGAAATCACCTCTTACGTCTCAATTACATATTTATTCTCTCTAAATTCATATATTTCCATTCTCTAAGATCTTGATGAACTTATTATCAAACATATTAAGATCTAACTTTCCTTCGGAGCAAGTCCTTGTGACTCTAGTCACTTTAAACTGATCGCATATACTAACTTGTGTTTGATTGCAAACCTTGCTAAAAATCAGTTTGGTGTTTACTTGATATATAACTTGCTGTCATTTATATTTCCTTACTTTTCCGCACTTAAATATTCCACAACTAACTTTCTAACATCTCAAACTTATTATTATTGTTGAGCTTTATGAAATTTGAGATTAACTTTATTCTGCAATATATAACTTGTTATAACGGTTGTTCAAGTGTGTTTCTCAAGTTTTTTTTCTCAATAATTGGTATCAGAGCCAAAATGGTTGTTTTTTTAAACAAAACATTGATTTTGAAAAGCATTCTATACCACTAAAGCTCATTTTCTAAAAAAAAGAGAAGCAAATATGGCACAAACTTTATCTCTTATCATTTCCAACAGTGTTGGAGGTTCTAATCGAGCCCCAA